GGACGGACGGACGGACGGATGGATGGATGGATGGATAGACGGAGCGATGGATGGATGGATGGATGGACGGACGGACGGACAGACGGATGGATGGACGGACGGATGGATGGACTGACGGACGGATGGATGGATGGACGGAAGGACGGATGGATGGACAGATGGATGGACGGATGGATGGACGGACAGACGGATGGATGGATGGACGGACGGACGGACAGACGGATGGATGGATGGACGGACGGATGGATGGATGGATGGACGGACGGATGGATGGATGGACGGATGGATGGATGGGGCAAGGACAGACAAGACTCCCGGAAAGTAAGCAGTAGGAGAGGCCTTGGGTGGTTACGGTGATTAACAGGGGAGACCCTTCTGCTGGACCCCAAGTAAGCAATTAGTGGACCATGGTGGGGGCGTCAAAGTGAGAGAAAGGGGCAGTGGACACTGAAGGCAAGGAGGTCTTGGGTTCAAATCTCTGCTGTACCAGATAAGATGTTCATGTCAGACGCATTATACTCATCAACTGACAGGTTGACTTGAAACCCTTTTGTATAACTACTTAAGGACATATATAGGTATATATAAACGAGAGGCTGGGGAGGGGGACATCGCCCTCCCCTCGTCCCAGTCCCCCAGTCTGTAAGGAGAAATGAATGAGGACCGCCCTTCCCGGCTGTCTTTCTCAGTCCCTTAGGTCCCCACTACAAACCCAGGAGGGAACAACAGGGATTTTTGTCTTAGTCTCCAGTAGATGTTCAATAAAAACGAGCTCTTCTCGCTGTAAAAGGCAAGGAACACGAATATCGACGTCCTCTCCATCACATCCAGCCCGAAGGTGGTTATTTAGGGTCCGGCGCGGCCGCCGGTCAGGGACAAGACTGGGGGGAGGTGGGCGGAACTGGAGTCCTCAACCCCTCTAACACCCGCAGTGCCGCCACGGAAATAGGAGACGGTCCCTAACACCACGTGATCCGCGGCTCCTCACGCTCCCGCCCTCTTTAAGCCCCCCACGTGCTTGTCAAGACCAGCACGTAGAGACCAGCCGAAGGGGGCGTGGCTTCCGCCCTCACTATGAAAGCGTTCAGGAGCTCTCTTGGTGCCCTGCACAAAAATGGCGGAGAACACACCCTCGGGCCGGACCAATCAAAGCGCGAGTTGGTGGAAGGGTCCCCGGGGACGGGGCGGGACTCTGTCCGGCGGAGTTTCTGCGCCTGCCTGGCTTTGTCGAGACCGGGGCGGGAAATGCGAACGGCGGTCTGGCTGTGAGCGAGGGGTGGCGAAGAACCCGGCGGCTGACATTGAGCTCCACTCCCAGTGCACCGAACGTCGCTTTATTCATTGGTTAATTTTCCTAACAGATCGTTGTAAACCAAGGCCGGGGTGTCCGGAACGGCCCCTGCCGCGGGTGAGCGGCGCTTCCCGGGCCCTGAGCGCGATCAGCCCGGGCTCCGAGAGAAAGGGAGGTGGGGGCTCCCCCATCCAGGCCTGGCCTGTGGTTTCCGGGCGTCCTGGGCGGCCCCGGGCCCCGGCCGAGGTTTCCGGGCTGCGGCCGCCCCAGCCCTCGGCTCCGCCTGTGGCCACCTGCCCGACACCTTCCCGGCCCGGCCGGCTTGGTCCCCAGCCCGAGGGCATTAGCCGCGCCCGCTATCGCCACCCACGGAGAAGGTGCTGCGGAGGCCGCCGCAGGCCGGTCGGCAAGCGGACACCCAGAGTGGGCAATGCCCCGGGGCCTACTTATCATGGCTGTTTTGGGGTGCTCAGAGGCAGGGTTAGGAAGAGGCTGGTGGCAAGGAGGGGGACCCCTCCCACCCCTCTTCTAGGACTCACCCCCAGCCTCCTTGCCCTTCTGTGACCTCTGGAGGTGAGTATGATTGTGCTTTTTGTTGGTGTTTTCTTTTCATTGAACTGGAAGCTCAGAGTCACTAACGATGATTAATTAGTCATTAGAGGCAGCCAGTGAGCCCAGAAGTTGCTGAAATGCTTATGGAGACAGGCCTGTCTGCCTTCCAGTGGGTAAGGTCTGCACTGACTTGAGCCACTCCAACCAACTACTTGGGAAAAGCCAAGAGATAATAAACTCAGGCTCTGAGATGTACAACTTTAAAAAACAAAAGTTCGGAAAAGCTTCTTTTGCCCTCCTAGCCAATCACATTGCTACCACTATTACCAACTTCCCTGTTCATTTGAAAGCTGGCAAATTCCCTGCTCCTTCCCCTGAAGAGTCAGGTCCCCATCTTTTCCCCACTTTGTCTAACTTTCCCCCTGCAGCACCTCTCCTCTGTCTTCAATATCACTGGACAGGTGAAATTGGCCATGCTTACAGGACAGAGAGAGCCTATCATGATAGCCAGTTTCTGAGAACTCCTAAGTAAATTTGAGAGGCTAGGAGACCCACTCCAGCTATTTGCCTTCTTCCTAATTCTGGAACAAAAGCTTCCCAGTCCAGCCTGAAGTCTTCCCTTCAGCCCACTTTTTTTTTTTTGGTGGGGGCTGCAGGATTGTAAGAAAGTGACTAATAAGAAACCATCAGGGAGATGCTGAGGGGGCCCACGCCTGCTGTAGAAGGAGGGTGTTATTTGGGGGTGACAGCTCCCAGCTGATTCATCTTCTCTTCTGAAGCTTTGTCTGGTAGCAGGACCTCCACTGTGAAACTGACCTTCTTGGTGTGGATGAAGCTGTAGGTGTTGTCAAACCGTAGGACATCTGAGGGGAGGCAGAAAACCAGACATTCAGGCAATGCCAACAAAGAGCTCTGGGATGGCCATTATGGTTAATGAGCTAAGGGTGTGGTAGGTGATAGGGATTCAGGTGTCCTAGGCAACTGTCCTTGACCTTTTAGGTCACTTAGAAAATTAGTCTAGCTGAGATGATCATTCAAGAGCAAAATGCATGCAACATGTCAAACGCCACATGAGTGACAAGAGACGATTACAACCACTTGGAAAAGGGTGAGAATCATGGCTTTGTAAACCAGGCTGCTCATGACCTACACCTCCAAAGGGAGACTAGAAACTGGGCACTGAAGCTTATGCCTATAATCCTAGCTCCTCAGAAGACTGATACCTGAGATCATAGTTCAGAGTCAGACTGGGCAGTTAAGTCTGTGAGCCTCCTCTATCCAATTAACTAGCAAAACGCTGGGAGTAGAGCTGTGCCATAAATGGTAGACTGTTAGCCTTGGGTAAAAAAAAAATGCCAAACAAGGGGCTGGGAAGGTGGCTCAGTGGTAAAGCACTTGCCTGCATGCCTGAGGCCCTGGGTTCAATTCCTCAGCACCACATAAGCAAAAAGGAAAAAGCCGGAAGTGGCGCTGTGGCTCAAGTGGTAGAGCGCTAGCCTTGAGCTGAAGAGCCGAGGGACAGCGCCCAGGCACAGAGTTCAGACCCCACGACCGGACCCAAAAGAAAGAGTTTGAGGCCCTAAATTCAAGCCTCAGTATGGCACAAGAAAAGAGAAAGGAATAGAAATAAGTAATATTGGCTGGGCGCCAGTGGCTCCCACCTGTAATTCTAGTTACTCAGAAAGCTGAGATCTGAGGATTGCAGTTTGAAACCAGCTCAGGCAGAAAAATCCATGTGAGCCTGTTTTTTTCTTTTTAATTGGTCACGAGGCTTGAACTTGGCCTGAACGTTGTCTGTCAGCTCTTCAGCTCAAGGCAAGCCTTCTACCCCTTGAGCCACAGTGCCACTTTGGGTTTTCTGAGTGGTTTATTGGAGATAAGAGTCTCAGAGACTTTCCTGCTTGGGCTGGCTTTGAACCATGCTCCTCAGATCTCAGCCTCCTGAGTAGCCAGGATTACAGGTGTGAGCTACCAGCACCTGGCCCTGTGAGACTCTAATCTCCAATAAACTACTCAAAATGGGAAGTGGCATTGTAGCTCAAGTGGAAGAATGCTAGCCTTGAGCACAGACGCACCAGCTGGTGGTTCACGCCTGTAATCCTAGCTACTCAGGAGGCTGAGATCTGAGGATTATGGTTCAAAGCCAGCCCAGGGATTAAACTCCGTGATACTCTTATCTCCATAAAGCCACCAGATAACCGGAAGTGGTGCAGTGGCTCAAGTGGTAGAGCACTAGCCTTGAGCTGAAGAGCTGAGGGATAGTGCCTAGGCCCAGAGTTCAAGCCCCATGACTGACAAAAAAAAAAAGGAAATAATAATGCTGTTGTCATTGTATTACTTTTATAAATGTGTCACATTATTGGACTGGTAATTATTATATGTGATCTCAGTTTTCCTTACCCCCAACCCTGAGTTCAGCATTAGTACTGTTTAATAGATAAAAGGGGGAGGGGTCACATGTCACACAGCAACGGAGCTAGAATTTCCCTCATCCACATTCCTGCTTTTGTTCTGGCCAACTTGGGCCCTCAGAAACCTAGCCCTGTTCAGTTTTTGACAAAAAGTAAACTGTGCCAACTTAATGAGCTAGGAATTCTTCCTGTAGAAAGAAAAGTGAACAAGGAGTCATTGCTTAACTGAGCATAATAATAATAGATAGGGGAAACTCAAATGTGCGAAAGAAAATTGCTTAAACAATTGGTGTTGTGGTCCACATAATAGACTACTGTTCTGATAGAAAAAGAAAAAGCTTATCCAAGACTGGGACTTGACCTCAGGGCTTCACACCTGCTGTGATTGCTAGCTCCCAGCTGGTGCTCTATTATTTGAGCCATGCCTCCAGGCCTGCTTTTTGCTGGCAAAATTGGAGATGGAATCTTACAGACTTTTCTGCCTAGGCCATCTTCAAACCAAGAACCTCCAGCTCTCAGCCTCCTGAGTAGCTAGGCTTAGAGGCGTGAGCAACCAGTGCCAGGCTGTGAACCTCAATCTTTCAGCTTTCAGCCTCCTAAGTAGCTAGGATTACAGGTGTGAGCCCCCAGCTCATAGCTGAAGCTAAAACAAGACATTGCTGCACAAACAAAAAGTTTGTTTTTTTAACTTTGCTTTTTGTCTACCCACACTTACAGGTTTTCTTTGATGATATATTGTACAATTATACTAAAAGGAAACCTTTTCTCAAATCCTGCTGGGAGTTTTGACAGTTTCAAAATTCCTTTCACACAAAAACCAGACAATTCCTGTGAAGATGTCTGCGTGTGTGTGTGTGTGTGTGTGTGTATGACTTTTTTTTTCTTATTTCTTCATTTACGTGGTACTGAGAAATGGAACCCAGGGCTTCAGGCATTCCACTAAGCCACAGGACCTGTTTGTTACAGGAACCTCAGCTGCTTCCACGGGCATGGACAGATTTGGTGGGATAATAGACCAGAGCTGTGTGCAGTGCTTTCCTCTAGGAAGAGAACATGGGCCTACAGTTGGCGGAGAAAGCTTCCGAGCCCTGGCAACAGAACAGACTTGTTTTTCATCTGACCCTGTTTCTTTGAGGAGTTGTTCCATTCATTTCCATTCAAACCCTCCTTTAAGAGAGCTAAGAAGGAAAACCAAAAATAACGTTAACTCTGTTCCTTCCCTGTGTTGGTTTTCTTTCACTTTTCCCAGTAAGGAAACACACACACACACACACACAGAGTGTTCATTCTAACACTTAACCTTTCACCCTTTTTGACCTCAGATAAAATGATATACCATCTAATCTACTCTTTCTTCTTGGCATGAAGTGAGCAGTAGCCATGTATTTCTTCACAATAGCCTTTTCTTTGGTGTATGTTTCAGAAATCCCACACCAACCAATATTCCTTCCCCCTACTCTGCTCTGGATGACAGAACCTTGGCCAGAGTTTATCAAGCTGACGAAGCCAGCAGTTCTTCCTTCCATCTCCTTAGACCAAGTACCAGGATCAAGAGCCAGCAAGCTATTCTGCCCTCAGCAGGGCACCCGGTGGCTCACGGCTGTAATCATAGCTACCCAGGAGACTGAGATCTGAGGATCACGATACAAAGCCAGCCCGGGGAAGGAAAGTCTGTGAGATCATCTCCAATTAACCACCAAGAAAACTGGAAGTGGTGCTGTGGCTTAAGTGGGAGAGCACTAGCCTTGAGCTGAAGAGCTGATGGACAGTGCCCAGGCCCAGAGTTCAACTACCATGACCGACTTAAAAAAAAAAAAAAAGATGGAGAACTTCTCTGGGAATCCTTGGTCCCCAGATAGAGATCTGTATTCCACTCTTATTTGGGGGGAAGGAAAGCCAAATCTTGTTTCAGACATTTGGAGAGTGGGTGGCAAAGAGAGACTTTCAGAAATCAGACAACCCCATGACTCATGCCTTGAACTCTTTGGACCCCAGCACTGACCATGAGTTCTGAGTCACTTCCCTGGGGGGGGGGGTTAGGGAAGAAGGGGGGTGGTTCAGATCCTTAGGACTGCCTTGTGCTTGTCTGGTGACAAAGCCTACACTTTCCATTCTTCATGGAGCAGTCCATCTTCAGTAAGCCCTCAGGAAATACTAGATGGCAAGAAAAAAGTACAATCAACACAGACTTTGGTCCCCTCCTTGGTCATTCAGTACACCCCTGGACAAGGACCAACCAGAGAAGCCTGAGGAAGATCTCATGCCCCCTCTCATGGCAGCTGGCCTGCCCAGAGCTTTCATTTCTCTTCTGGGTGTTCATGTTCCATGTGGCCAGGAGTTGCTACTCTTTGAGAATGCTGTCTCTCACAAATGTGCCTGTAAGCCAGTAGTTGGCTCTCCAGGCTCACGCCTAGCCTGAGCCCCAGCCACCACTCACTGCCCTTCTACCTGGGAAGGTGTGAGGGATGCAGTGGCCTGCTTCTGCTCCAGGGAATGGGCAGCAAGCAGATCCCAGGGAGGTGGAGGTGACCCTTGTTATACCCAGGACAGATATCTTGATGGTTTCTAAGACAGTCCATGGCCAAGAGACTCTGGATCCAAACTCTAGTAGTCTCTGGAATCCTCTGTTTTTTGGTGTCTAGACAAGTTTGTGAGGGTGGGGAAATATCCCTTTTCTAGCACATAGCTTTCTTGTCCTTTATAGTCCATTCACAGCCAAGAGCTAGTGGCTCACACCTATAATCCTATCTACTCAGGGAGCTAAGATCTGAGGATCATGGTTAGAAGCCAGCCAGGGCAGGAAAGTCAATGAGACTTGTCTCCAATTAACTACTCAAAAAAAAAACAGTCATCCCCTTTCTTCCCCCTGCCTAGTTGATCTAGAAGCAGAGCAATGGAGCTGTGGCTCAAGTAGCAGAGTGCTAGTCTTGAGCAAAAGAAGCTCAGGGACAGCACCCAGGCTCCAAGTTCAGCCCCAGGACTGGCATACGTGTGCCCCCCCATAAATTCAAATAAAAGAATAACAAAGCATTATGCTTACTACTAATAATAAATATATCATAGACCTGATATGGTATAATTTGTAATTCCTCTAAGACGTCTGCTATATTAGCCAGGTACCAGTGGCTCAAACCTGTAATCCTAGCTACTCAGATGGCTAAGATCTGAGGATCACAGTTTGAAGCCAGCTTGGGCAGAAAAGTCTGTGCAATTCTCTCTCTCTCTTTCTCTTTCTCTGTCATGGGTCTTGAATTCTGGGCCTGGCCACTGTCCCTGAGCTCTTCAGCTCAAGGCAAGCACTCTACCACTTGAGCCACAGTGTCACTTCATGTTTTCTGGTGGTTAATTGGAGATCAGAGTCTTAGAGACTTTCCTGCCCAGGCTGGCTTTGAACCATGATCCTCAGCTCACGGCCTCCTGAATAGCTAGGATTACAGGCATGAGCCACCAGCACCTGGCTAAAATTCTCTTCATTTAACCTGCAAAAAGCTGAAAGTGGAGCTGTGGCCCAAGTGGTAGTCTGCCAGCCTTGAGCAAAAAGCTAAGGGGAAGTGCCCAGGCCCTGAATTTAAGTCCCATTACCAGCATAAAAATGGTGGTAAGGGATTTTAATCAATATTGCAAAGTGGTGCAAGGCTGAACATCCCTTTCAATATCTGTTTTCAGTTCTGTTCCCAATCTCGTCACTCTGAGGTGAGTGTCATTTGGTGGGTTCAAGGCCAAGCTATGGTAGCACACAGATCTCCATAGCTGCCCAGCCATTCCTGCCTCACCGGCCCTCAGGAGAGAAAGAATCACTAGGAAAGATCTAGCAGCCAGGCTTCAGTGATTCACACCTATAAACCCAGGAGGCTGAGATCTGAGTGTTGGGGTTCAAAGCCAGCCCAGGCAGAAAAAGTCCATAAAACTCATATCCAAAGAACCAGCAAAAAACAAAAACACCAGAATTAGAGCTATGGCCCAGGCCCAATTGGTAGTGTGCTGGCCATGAGGAAAAAAGCTCAGGGGTAGTGCCCAGGCGCATGCACGCACACGCGCGTGCGCACGCACATACACATATCTAGCCAGATGCTAGTAGTTCATACCTTTTTTTTGGGGGGGGGGGGTCTGGTCGTGGGGCCTGAACTCTGGGCCTGGGCTCTGTCCCTCAGCTCTTCAGCTCAAGGCTAGCGCTCTACCACTTGAGCCATAGCACCACTTCCAACTTTTTTCTTTTTGCTTATGTGGTGCTGAGGAATGGAACCCAGGGCCTCATGCATGCAAGGCAAGTGCTCTACCACTGAGCCACCTTCCCAGCCCCTAGTTCATACCTTTAATCCCACCTACTCAGGAGGCTGAGATCTGAGGCTTGCAGTTCAAAGCCAGCCTGAACAAAACAAATCTGTGAGATTCCTTAGCTCCAGCTAACCAGCTAAAAATCCAGAAATGGAGCCTCAAGTGGAAAAGCAGAGTGAGAATGAGAGGCCCTGAGTTTTAAGTCCACAGGCACCAAAAGAAAACAAAAACAAACAAATAAAAAACTAGCCACAGTCACAGACCCAGCTTGATTAGACCGAGCCCTGCCAGCAGCCATTCTGAAACCCCATGGTGACTGCACTGACTCACCTGCTGCCGGTATCGTCTCTGCATCCCACTGCGAACCAGCAGGGCCACCCAGGACAAGTCACAGCCCCTCTCTAATCCCAGGTGCCCTCCTCTCTGCAGTGGGGTGAGTGATGAGCTGATGGAGCTCCCCTTCCTATTCAAACCCTTCCAGTGTCCCAAATGACAGAGGAAGCGGGCGGGGGGGGGGGAGGGGAGGCTCCCAAGACAGAAAGCAGACGGGCTTAAGCATTGTTGAGATGAAGAAACTTACAGGTGCCAGGATCACTGCAGGTGAGGGTCCCGTCCTCAGGCACCATGTGAGCATTGTACCTCTGGCTGGCCAGCACCTCTGTCATCTCCGCAGCCTTCTGCCGCTCGCCCATCTTGGTCTTCAGGAAAATTCCAAAACCAATATCTGCCCCCTCTGACATGAACTGCCACCTGCAGAGGCCATGCATTCATTTCGATTTAGATACAAAATATACACGCCAGGCACAGGTGGCGCACACCTGTAATCCTAGCTACTCAGGAGGCTGAGATCTGCGGATCGCGGTTCAAAGCCAGCCCCGGCAGAAAAGCCCCCATGAGACTCTTATCTCCCATTAACCACCCCAAAACTAGACGTGGTGCTATGGCTCAAAGCTCAGGGACAGCGCCCAGGCCCTGAATTCAAGCCCTACAACCAACCCCCCCCCAAAAAAAAAGATTTAGATCCACAGTTCCCTCTGGGTGGGTGTATGGCAGTGGGGTATTTTTCCCCACCCCACCCCACATCTCAGGGCACCCAGGAATGAAAGGCTTGGGGCTCTGCCAGGACCCTGTCCTACCTGAGCACACAGCCGGGGAAGAGGATTTCATATTCCACCTGGTGAGAGGAGCCCCGGGCTACCTGCACGCTGTGCTCATACTGCTGCTTGACCTGGTCTCGAACATAGTATTTCTTGGGGATGTCACCCCCATAGTTGATCTAGAAGCAGAGCAGGGGGTGAGCTGGCATGTGGATGAGAGCCAGGCTTTCCTGTCCCCTCCCGCCCCAGCCCTGCGCGCCAGCCCCACACCTTGGATTTGCACTTGGGGTCCCCATCAGGGTCTGTCATGGTGCCTCCATACTCCACAGGCAGCTGATCAGGGCTGATGTGTTTCAGTAAAACCTCTTTCCAGTTTGCTGGCACGGAGAGAGAACAAGGGGCCACATCAACACTAGGTAAGATTTCATTACCCCAAAAGGTAGGGGAATTTTTTTTTTTAAACCGTATCTTTGACAGTCTGTGTCAAAGGGGAAGAAAAACCCGTCTCTGCTTCCCCCCCTACCAGGGAGCATGGTGGTGCCTGCCTGTAATCACAGTACCTGGGAGGCAGAGGCAGGAAGATCTAGAGTTCAAGGGCAGCCTGAGGTGCATATCCAATCCTTGTCTTTAAATAAAGGGGTGTTATGAGCATGCAATACATCGTAAGAGCAAAAGCCATCCCCCAAAAGATGGCCCTACCCTACAGCAGAAACGAGAAGCCCTCGATTTCTGTTCTGATTGCCTCTGGCCAGCTCAGTAGTCTTAGGAAATCATTCTAATCTAGTTTTTCTTGCCCTGCAGGGTTTTGAAGGGGGTAAACTAAAGTATATTTGAGAGCGCTTTGCAAACTGTAAAGTGCCTTTCACACTCCGTTGGAAGGCAATCCAAACATGACAAGTAGGGAGCCAAGTGTATATAGCACACCTGTAATCCCAGCAGAAGCAGGGTTGTGAGTTTGAGGCCAGCCTTGGTTCTAAAGTAAAAGTTGCCTCAAAAGAGAAACAAAAATATAAGCAGGGAGCTGAGGAAAGAAAGCAGGGAAAGGCAGAGGACCACAGGCAGGAAGGGTCAGGCCACAGGGTCTGGTCCAGTTAGAACTCCACATCTTCCCTCCACATGGCTGTGTACATGGTATCAGGAAACCATCCCTGGCAGGGTGGGGAACCGTTTTTTTTTTTTCCTTCCAAGGGCCAGTGGATATTTATAACACCGCTCGTGGGCCAGGCAAAATTATCAACACAAGCAGATGGCCAGCAATGGGAAGCATGTGTCTGTCCTGTCCTATACCAAAAGATTCTGAGGCTCACAGGCTTCCCACGCCTGCATGTGACTGCATCAGGAGGTACCTAAGTTTTACCCCAACCCCAATTTCACTTCAGCTCCTATTGTTTGACTATGTGTGTTGGTACTGAGGTTTGAACTCAGAGCCTAGACACTGTCCTTTAGCTTTTTTACTCAAGGATGGTGCTCTACCACTTGAGCCACAGCTCCACTTCTGGGGTTGTTTTTAGTGGTTCATTGGAGATAAAGAGTCTCCTGGACTTTCTTCTTGTCCAGGCTGGACTTCTAAGCTCGATCCTCAGATCTCAGCTTCCTGAGTAGGTAGGATGACAGGCATGAGCCACTGGTGCCAATCTTGTTTGGCTGCTTTTTATAACCAAGCCCTGTCCCAATTGGCTCTAGTACATCCAGCCATCGGAATTCATAAACATCAGCCAAATACTATTTATTTATATTTATTTTGTATATGCCAGTACAGGGACTTGAACTCAGGGCCTGGAGTTCTCATGTGGCTTTTTCATTCAAAGCTGGCTCTCTACCACTTCAGCCCCGCCTCTACTTCTAGCTTTTTGCAAAGTAATTGGAAATAATTGTGTCATGGACTTTTCAGCCGGGGCTGGCTTCAGATTGGGATTCCTAGATCTCAGCCTCCTGAGGAGCGAGGGTTACAGTGCCAAACCTAAGGACAGTATTTTGATATCCTTTCATGCCAAGTCTATAGGCCATATAGGCAGCAGCTTCTGGGGACAGCCCAGTGTTTTCTGCATACTGCTGGCTGGAGGCCACGGACACTGTGTAGGGTCTGCCAGGGCTCACCTGTTTGGACCTAAGACAGTGCAACTCCTGGAACACGATGTCACCACTAAGCTCCGGTGGCCAGCTCCTCTGTCAACCATCCCAGCCCAAGGTGGCTGTGATTGAAAGAATCAGAGGTGTGGGTGGGAGAACAGACTGAGCTGCCTACGCTGCCAGGAAGCCAAACTGCCTCAGACACATGGTGGGTGGGAGCAGCTCACGAAAGTGTTAGGCTCTGTGTGTGTATGTGTGTGTGTGTGCATGCGTGCGCATGCACTGGAGATGTCATCTGGGACTTTACATATGCCAGGCAAGCACTCTACCACTGGGCTATATCTAGGTTATTTGAGATGGAAGCAGAGGGAGTCGGGGAGTCTCACAACATGGCCTTGAACTTGAGATCCTCCTGCCTCTGCCTCCCAAGTGCTGGGATTACAAGTATCCATTACCATGCCCACCTGCTCTGATTTTTTTTTTTTTTTTGTCAGTCATGGGGCTTGAACTCTGGGCCTGGGCACTGTCCCTCAGCTCTTCAGCTCAAGGCTAGCACTCTACCACTTGAGCCACAGTGCCACTTCCAGCTTTTTCTGCTTATGTGGTGCTGAGGAATCAAACCCAGGGCCTCATGCATGCAAGGCAAGCACTCTACCACTGAGCCACCTTCCCAGCCCCTCTGATTTTTTAAAAAAAATTTCTTCACCTAGCTCAGATCTGGGCTAGGGACTGAAGAGAGAGGAACAGGCAATTAGAGGCAGAATCTAGCCAGGTGCCAGTGGCTCACACCTGTAATCCTAGCTACTCAGGAAGCTGAGATCTGAGGATTGAGGTTTAAAGCTAGCCTGGGCAGGAAAAAAATATAAAGACTCCCAATCAACCAGCAAAAAGCCCGAAGTGGCAAGTGGTTGTGCACCAGTCTTGAGCAAAAAAATCTAAGGGAGAGACTGCACCCAGGCCCTGAGTTCAAGCCCCAGCACTAGCATACACACACACACACACACACACACACACACAAGCAGAATCTTGCTGCCAGAGCAGAACCCAGACACCTGTATGTTCCTCACAGTGTCCCTCTACCAAACTATGGCCTCACCAACAGCACATCTGGAAAATGGACACTTGCAATATGTATCCTAAAGGTGAAACCTTCAGGATCCCTCACCTCTCCTCAGCCCACCTGCATGGGTAGCACGAAGTCCTCTGCAAATGGTTTTTCTAGCCCTTTCTCCCACTGCACCATGTCCTGCTCCAGCAAAACAGAACAGCCTTCCCCTGGCTGGCTGATTCCTGTGTCTTTGTGGGTTTCAGGGCACACCTGCCCTTGTGACCTGATATTCTCCCTGTTCACTCGCTTTTCTGCCAACCTGGTTCATCACCTCTCAGTCTTCCCAGTGGGCTCCTCCAGCTCTGCCTGGTCTTGAACTTGGAAACTCACACCCAACTACTCACCAGGTTTTAGCCTTGGGGAATTCTCCAGTCTCCAACCTCAGTTTCTGGCTATTATTCCAACACCTGTAAATGTTTACAATGCCTCTGCCTCCTGGGTCACACATGCCATTCTAGATTTCTCTTTCTCCCTCAGTTTCCCCACCCAGTCCATTTCATTCTGCTGCTCCCCAAATAAATCCGACGTCTAAGAGTCTGCACCAGAGCATGATTGTAACAAATCATGACTGTCACACCCTGCTTGGACTCTAGCAATAGTCCACAAGCTGGTATCTACTCCTCATCATCTTGATTTATTTTTTTCAGGACTAGGGATCAAATCTAGGGCCTCAAGCATGCTAGACAAGTGTGCTAACACTTTAAGACACACCTGCAGCCCGACGCTCCACAATCTTGCCAGTACAACAGATCAGATTTGCTTTTTTAAAAAAAAAATCTCATGGTGGTTTGTTGTTTTGTTTTCTCCTGCCCAGAATTCTCTGGATCCCAGTGGCCTGGACAGTCCTTGTCCCACTGGTCTCAGATTCTCCGTCACCTGGCTCCAGGGTCCCCATTTAGCCTCATCTCCAGGGAGGGGTTTACTCGTGTTCCCTCTCTCTGCCAAGCGGCTTCCACTCCATTCCCTGTGGCCAACTCCTGTTCATCCCACAACACCCAGCTGAAGAGGCCACTGTCCTCTCCCCAACCCAGGTCAGGTGAGTGCCCATGCTAGGCACTCCTCAGTTTCCCTCTTTCTTCCATTTATCACACCAAGCTGATAAACCTGTTTGTATCTCCCTTCCCTGAGAGCTCAAAGAACTATGTCCTAATCATCTTGGCAGCCTGTCACCTGGCCCAGGACCTGGCATGGACAAAGTGCATACGGGATGGAGACGTTCCTAGTTGCCCTCATCTATAAGCAACCTTGCCCTCCATGGCACCTTCTCCAATCCCTTTTCAGTGTCTGTCGGTTTGTATCTTAGCTTTCCCTCCACAGGCTCCCTCTCTCCCAGCTCCTTGAGGGCAAGGCCTGGAGTTTCCTTCATCTTTAAACCTACAACAGTGAGCTCCCATTCTTGCATCTAGAATGTCTGAGAGAAAAAAACACACAAAACAGTTCTTAGGAAAGCAGATAGGCAGCTGGGCACCAGAGGCTCATGCCTGTAATCCTAGCTACTCAAGAGGCTAAGAACTGGAGGACTGTGGTTCGAAGCCAGCTCAGGCAGAAAAGTCCACAAGACTGTCTCCAGTTTATCAGCAAAAAAAGGCAGACTGGAGGTATGGTTCAAGTGGTAGAACACCAGTCATGAGCTAGAAAGCTGCATGAAAATGTAAGGCCATGGTCACAATCCTACAGTTGGATCTAATCTGGGCTACAGAGTAATTGGTAGAGAGTCAAGTTGGGGCCACTCACCTCCAAGGACCATGATCTTCTTCCGGGTGTCCTCACTAAGGAAAGGTTTGATGAGGTTATAGGCCACAGGAAACAGCTTGGGGGCTGGAACACAGACCAAGCCATAGGAGGCTGGGGTCAGTCAGTCACTAACAGTGTCATTCATAGTCCATCTGTCCACAGGGCCCCACCCTATACTGGGCCACGGGTGCCCTGGCTCTGTGGAGAGACCACAGGCAGCCCAGAAGTGAGGCTCCAGCCAGCACCAGCTTGAGGTCCTTCCCCCGTCACACAATAGGCTGGGCCCCTCTTCCTACATCATTGGGCCTGGAGGCTCAAGGGACATCATAAACACTGAACATAAAGACATGTTCAGTCCTTGAGCCCTCGTCAGTGTGTGTGGGGTGTGTGTGTGTGTGTATGCGTGCGTGCCAGTACTGAAGCTTGAACTCAGAGCCTCAGACTCTCCTTTAGCTTATTCGATCAAGGCTAACACTCTACCACACCTCCACATCCACCTTTTGTATGTGTGGTTCACTGGAGATACAGGTTTCATAGACTTTCCTGCTTGGGCTGGCTTTGAACTGTGATCCTTAGATCTCAGCCTCCTGAGTAGCTGGGATTACAGGCATGAGCCACCAGCACCTGGCTCCACGTAAGATTTTTTTTTTTTTTTTTGCCTCTTTTTCCCATTTGGCTTCATTACTGGAAATTCCCGACTTACCTTTAACAACAAACAGACGCTTCAGTGTTTCAGGATAATTTTCCTCAAACATGCTGAGAAACTGTGGAAGCAAAATCACTGTGGTTCCAGCCGGCTCAGGCCTGGGAGCCAGGAAAAAGAGGCCCTGCTTCCTCCCGGCTGCAATCTGCCCCCAGCCCCACCCTCATCTCATAGGGTAGCCTAGCCAAGGGGTCCCCCCTTTGCTGCTCACCTCACCGTAGGCTTCTACTGCAGGTTTCCAGAGATGCTTGAGGCCAAGCCCCTCACAGTCGTAAATCATGGTGATGGTCTCAATTTTCTTCCCCAGCTACAGGAAACAGATAGGTCAAAGTCAGGCTGCCAGAAGCCCAGTCCTTAGTTAGAGGTCAATGCTAACCAGGCATCCACAGAGCAATGGAATCAGGTCTGGGTGGGGCCCAGGATTTTCCAATGGAGATAATAAACCCAGGCTGGAACTGGGGCCTGTCTCCTGTCTAGGTTTCCCTGTTCTCATCTGCTAAATGACTGAGTGAATCTAGATTACATCTGAGGTCCCTTCTGTCCCGCAGGCTGGCCTGGTCGCCTCCTCTTCTCCTCTGAGTCATGGGGCTCTGTGAACAGCACTCACAACACCCAGGCCGCACTACAGGTGCATCTAGATCAAACCCCTCCAGCATTCCACTCCTATCCCCGGGGTCTCTGTCCTCAGTAGGTTCTCTGTGAATGTATGCAAATAATGATTTGAAAAGCCCCACATTTAGCTGAGCATGGTGGCCTGTAATCCCAAGAGGTGGAGATAGGAGGATTGGAGTTTGAGGGCAACCTAGGCAAAAAGAGAGACTTCATTTCAAAATTAAGCCAGGGAACTGGGCGCTGGGGGTTCATATCTGTAATCCTAACTCTTAGGAAGCTGAGACCTAAGAATGGCAGTTCAAAGCCAGACTGGGCAGACAAGTCCTTGAGACTCTGAAATTCCACCAAAGAAACTGGAAGTGGAGCTATGGCTTGAGAAAAAGAGCTCAGAGCTAGTGCCCAGGCCAGGTTCAAGCCCCAGGACTGAAAGAAAAAAAAAAAGAAAAGATGGGGCCAGGTGCCAGTGGCTCACGCTTGTAATCCTTGCTACTCAGGAGGCTGAGATCTGAGGATCAAGGTTCAAAGCAAGTGCAGGCAGGAAAGTCTGTGAGACGCTTACCTCCAATGAACCACCAGAAAATCAGAGGTGGTGCTGTGGCTCAAAGGGGCAGAGCACTGCAGGGACAGCACAAAGGCCCTGAGTTCGAGCCCCATGACTGACCAAAGTAACAGTAATAATAATAAGCTGGGCATGGTGGTACAGATATGTATTACAGCTATTTAGGAGGCAGAAGTAGAAGGATCATGGTTCAAGGCCAACATGAGCAAAAGTATAAGACCCTAATCTAAAACACAAAGTACAAAAATCAAAAGGACCTGAAGTGTGACTCAAATGGTGGAGGGTCTTGCCTAGGAAGTGTGAGGCCCTGAGTTCAACCCCCAATACCAATAGTACATGTACACACACACACACACACACACAC